TTTTGTTTCCCTCTTTTCGCTTTCACCCAGCTGCATCTCGAAGACGTTGCAGAACATTGTTCGCAATGCTTGTTATTGGTCTATTAATCCCAAGTCTAGAAAAGATTTTGCCAAGCCAAGTGGGATCTTTGATTTTCAGCAAACCACTTTGCTTCTGCGCTCTAGATCCTGGAAAGAACACAGTAATCGAGAAAGATTTCTTCGACTTGAGAACATTCTTGTCGGCTGTACACTCACGAATGACCGTTTGGCGTCCTCAGGCTGGGTCACGAATGCCAATTGCCGCTTCTGTGACAATGCAAAGGAAAGCATGCCTCATTTGATCCATTGTACAAAAGTCCATGCTATTTTGGGCAAACCGGTTCTACATGAGTTTGGCAGCAATTTTGCCGTACTTGGCCACGTGCAACATCCAATCAGCATTGCCAAAAAGAGATTGCAGATGTCGGATATTTCCTCAATTGGTCTTGCTTCCACTTTCTCTGCGGAACACAATGAAAGAATGTGGACAGACGGTTCCGTTATTCACTCCAACACCTTCTGGATCACGAATGCTGCCTATGCAGTCCTTGACGAAACCCGTCAGATTCGATTCAAGGGTTTGGTACAGTACTGGAACGTGTCAGCCTATTGTGCAGAACTTTGGGCGATCCTGGTCACGTGCGCCCGTGCATGCTTCACCACATGCATATACTGTGATTGTTCCAGTGTGGTTGAGCAAGCCACCCTCATCTTCCAGGGCGAGATGCCAGCTAAGCATTGGAAGTATTTTCATTGGTGGTCCTTTTTGGCGCACGTTGTCAAGCTCAGACAGTCGGTTGTTCAAAGACCATTCCATATACAGTGGATTCCCGCCCACTGCTATGAACAGATACCAATTGAGTTGCTTTCCGAAGATCTTGCACGGTTGAAGAACACCACAGTCGAACATATTCACCACAATCGTTTGGTTGACATTGCGGCAAGAGACCTTGCAGTTTCCACAGCACCAGTTCATACCAGCATTCAGCAGCAAGTTGCAGGGGCGGTTTCTGGCCATCAACAATGGCTCGTTGATCTGCACGCCCTACTCCCGACGGAACAACCTGACAGGGCTGTTGTAATCAAAGGTGATGAGGCACCTCAACTGCCTGACTTGCAGGCTTGCCGGAAGCGTTTTCCACAATGGTTGTGGGGCACAAAGGAGACAATGTTCCCATGGAAACCGAAAATTCCCCACGGGGTGGCCTGTCCGGTGAAATGGTCAAGTACCACACAGAATTGGGAAACATGCTGCGCCTTTTTGCGATCCACAACATGGTTGGTTGACAGCAAGCAGGACTACTCCTTCAACGAACTTGCGGTCCTTCTGCATACCAGGGGTTTCTCCTTGCATTTTGCTCATGAGGAAGCTACCTACCTTGATGTGTACAAGCTTGTGCGGGAAGCATTGTCATTCCTCAACTCGGATCCCTCTGCTGATCCACACCCGGGAAAATTTCATACATCAAAGCCACGTTGCTGTGGCCGTGTCTTGCCACAAGGCTCCATCCAGGGAGCCATACCCTTTGTGACGGATGAAGAGAGAGTAGCGATTGGCCAGCTTTTTCACATCGGTGCCGGCCGCGCGTTGGCATCTTGGGATATCCCGCTGGCTTAGTTGGATGGTGTTGCATGTGGGGTCTGCCTTTTGGCTTCTTTCTGTACATAGACCAGGGTGTCTAGTACAATGCTGACGCCGTCTCACAGAGACCGTCCGCAGAGAGCGATGAGTTACTGGTAGTAATGCCAAAAGCTACTAGTAGCGTCCTTGCTCTCTTGTTTTGGCCGCGAAATGTCGAAAAGTAAACCTTGATCATCCTTGATCACTATCCGCGTCAAATCGATCGGTCTCCATTGACGATGAATTCAACGTTCCCTCCAGGACTGCAATGGAAGGTGCAACATTTTGATTTCATGGACGAGATATTAACGGGTGGACTTTGAGGTGATGTCAAAGGAACCTCTCTTCTCTTTTTACGAACCTTTCTTTTCTTAATTCGGTAAGTGGGAGAAGTGAGACCAGCACAAAAATCGAAGAGCTCAAACAGTCGAAAAGTCTCGAAAAGTGGATGTGTGATTTCGTTTCCTTTACCTTTTAACATTTTTTGGACTTTTCTCACTTTTTGCGTTTTGTCTGATGTGTTGCAAATAGACCGTCGCTAAAGGATCTCGCGAGCTGAGTAAATCCATGCCCACATATTCTGCCCATCCATTCGCGTGCAGTTGCTTGGCATAGGCTGGAGAATCTTCCCAGTGCACGTGTCACAAATGTGCACGGGACATGACGCCACGTTGCAGAACTGCGCGTCACGATGACTGTGTGACTATGCCAAAAGCTGGTGAACATTTGACATGATGTGTGTGTGTAACCTTTGGAGTCACAAGGTTTCTGTTGGAATGTGGGAGTTGATCAAAATTCCTTTATCCGGGATCCGTCCTTTTCGCAAAAAATACATTAGCCAAACTTTCGCCTTCCTGCGTTTTATCTTTCGCCGAAGTATGTTGTATTTATGTGTGCCATGTCTGTTGTGGTTTGTTCACGCCAATGGTTTCTTCTTTACTGGCAAACACAAAATAGAAACTTCACTGTTTGTCAGCATGTGTCTTCTACTTAACTGTTGACACCCTGTACGTCTCTATTGTTTCTCCTGGGTGTCAGCAAGAATCAAAAATGGAAGAATCACTGTAGTAGCTGGTCACTCAAGCTTACTCATAATGGGCTGGGGGTCAGATGTGGCAGGGTGAACTTTCGCCAATCTTGAGCTGAACTTTCGCCAAACTTTCGCCCTTTGCGGGGTGGAGTTTTGTGGCAAAGCCACCCCCCCCAAAGCAGGAGCAGGAATAGTAGTAGTCTTGGTAGTAGTAGTAGTAGTAGTAGTAGTAGTAGCCGCAGCAGCACCAGGTTATCTAACTTCCACAGTTCATCTAACTTCTGAGTCACTGCCACCAGCTGTTCAGGAAGCAAATGAACATTCATACAAAAGTACATATTTAATCTTTCGCCAGATCTTTCGCAAAAAAAGTTACTTTCGCCAACTCGAGAAAAAACTTTCGCCAAATGAGATTTTGATATGTTCCGGGTCATGGTCATACACAATGCTGTCTAGGACCTTTAGATCGACAACCATGTGTTTCTTTGCGGTTTTGAATTTGAAGCAGGGGGTGCCAGGGACCGTGCAAGTCTGGCACTAACAAAGACACTTGCACTGGTCCGTGATATAGCTCCGGGACGCTGGAGCTACATACCTGCTTTGAGAAGAACCTACGTAAATGCAAAGCTGTCCACTACGTTGTTTCTGCACTTCGTGTTTCTGCAGTAAAGGGCTAGTGCACTGGCGGCCTGAACTTGAACTTGCATTTGGGGGCTCTGGAGGTTTTGGATTCACCGTTTTGGAATTTCCGTTTTTCACTTACCTCTCTTAGGTTTTTCACTTAGGCCGGCGTGTGGCACACCGCATTCACATCAGTATGCATTTTTATAAGTGTGTGTTTTTTTGGTCTTTGCATAACATAAACTTCAATGAGTTATCATTGTGAAAGCAGGATTGGGACTTTAAAGTCAGTAGGGATTGTGGTCAAACGCCACTAGCCGACATTGCGCTAACCCACAGCACTTTTCCAAGTGTCTTCAGCCAAGTAGATCCCATGCCCAAACCGCCGGCCATGCACCAGGTTCCTGCAGAACCCCACCGTCGGTGGTGCGAAAACCAAGCTTTTGGCCATAAACTATCTAAGGCCATCACGGGGTAACCATGAAACCCTCTTCTGCGATGGTCTCCGCCGCCTTCACCAGAAGCAAACTTTAAGCACCACAGCAATGCTGCAGGGTGGGAGTGGTGCAAGCGGCGGTTTTCATCGGTCTTCCACCCTGGACTCTAATGTGTGTGTGTGTGTATGTGTGCGCGTAGCCCTTCAATAGTCATAGGATGTCATAGGGAGCTTGTTTTGGAGGGGGCATGCAGCCGTTACGCAAACACGAAGCGATGCGTAAGGGTGGCAGCAGGACTCGGCTCTTTACTTCCTACTGCCACTTGGTCCCGTTCTTAACACGAACAATTTAAAGTTTAGCCTTTGCATCGATGCGCTCACTGCAGTCACCCATTGTAAAATTCACGCAGCTTGAAACTTTCGGGCTATTGAAATGGCTGGACGGCATTACATACTACATAATACCTGTTTTGCTCAGGCTTTTTTCACATGGATTTCTTCTACCTAGGCGTTTGGCGGACGTCATACGAACTCTTGTCTCAAATGTGCCTCTTCCCGTGAGAGCCCGGAGTGGCCCCAGTCGAACTGGGGGGCTTACTATTAGTAGCAAGTAGAAAGGGCATCGCTACTAGGAGCACGGACGCTACTAGTAGCTCCTGGCCTTACTACTGCTAGTAGCAAGAAGCAACAGGAGGCGCCCATAGCGGGCGAAAGGAGCGAGCGCGAGCAGACCGTAGTGGTGGAAGCGTTGCACAAACCCACCAAACGAGGCAAGGTGCCCCAGGTTTCTTTTAATAAGGTTTGGTTCTATCCTGTTTGTCCCCTTTCATCTGCATTTTCCTTTCATGTCTTTCCCGCCTTCACGTCTGGTCATTTCATTCCGTTCTTTCCTTTTGGGTGCGCGTTCGTCTGGCCCTTAGTACGCGTGCACATTTACAATGAAACTAGGTTGTGGGGTGCCCCAGGTTTCGTTATAATGACGTCTGGTTCATTTGTTTGTCCCTGTTCATCTGGTCTCCTTCCCATTGCCTCGCATACTTGTGGCATCTTGTCGTCTTGTTCAGGTCTTTCCTTCATTGATCCTTTTTGCGTGCACATGTGCTTCTTACAAGAATGCATGTAAATCCATCCCAGGACATCAATAGTTAAATCTTTAATGGAACTTGGCAATCTTAACAAATGCAAATCCCACGACGAACAGTCAAACGGAAGCAAGAAATAACATCTAGCATAGGCTCACTCAAAGCAAGATCAACATCTCGCTACTTACGTTACGCGTCTGATCTGTAGGGCGAAGCCTGTCTTGAGGTTCCGTGCCACAAAAGCAGCTCATTTAAACCAGGTGCCATGTTCTCCACCTTGGTGCCACCAGCGCGGTCAGACACACGTGACATCAGCATGTTTATCGCCCCTTTGCTGACACCAACCATGAACTGCCCAGGCACACTGATGGCTTCATCCCTGTGGAACTCCTGCAAGATCTTCGCCTAATCCCAGTCGGGCCAGCCAGCGCACCCCTTGACCACTCCCTTGACCATCTGTAGCCCTAACTAATCCCAACAAGTGAAGCGGTGTCAACGCACTTGGGGCTCCATTGAATGAAAGGCACTGAAGAATAGTCAGAATGGTTGATGCTTCACAAGAACCTATGTTGCAGCCGGGCTGACCTAGAGCCTTGTGTGAGAAACCTGAAGTACTCTCAGATGTGTATAGGCAAATGCTGTAGTGCTAAAGGTAGAATGTGCCTTGACAGGAGGAGCAACAAATGAGAACAACATCCATGAAACAACACAGCCCCACAACTGCCCACACGAAATCATACCAACCATTTGCATTGGCCAAGCGGCTGTCAGCACTTGACCACTCCCCGAAGTTGTGTCCAGTTCGTGAGGTGGTGCACCTAAGTACGCGTGCGGCAATGATGAGCTGAGCAAAACCAAAGTTACCCTGGGAGTCCTTGTGTGTGTGTGTTTGTTTGATGGGAGTTCTCATTCTAAACTGTGTGACCTGTCCTTTTCCAATAACATGTTTTGAGAGGCATCTGTGCAAGTTTTGCTAAAGTCTGCATGCCTGTTGCTTTACACCACACACATTACTGTAATAAATGCTGCCATGCTGCATTGAGTCAAGCCTTGAGAATCCAAAAGATTACCTCGAAGCAGTTGACTTCATTTCTGCCAATTGTTCGACAATGCTTTTGAGACACTTTGCTTTGCAAAGTTCCGCTCGGGCCAAGATGCTAAGATTTCGCTTCCAGTTGATATAGCCTGAGGCGCACATCAACAAAATCTCACAGACCTACAACAATTCAAGGATTGGACGGACATAACATGTTGGACTAGCTCATCCAGAGTTCTCGAATGACTGGCAGTGCATCATTTCTCATTGGTCTTTGCTTTCAGCATTTGTTGTGCGTTGCTCGCCCGGTGTTTCACGGCGAGGCTCGGCACCAAAGTCCGGAGTCTTCTACTCGTCGCACCTTTTGCACCTCGGTGGTCACGCCGTTGATGGCCGTTGAGCATGTGTGAACTGTTGGCATCCTCTTCTCTTGAATTGGGAATGGCATCATGACAAGGTACAGTATGCCCTTTCTAGGGGAATATTATGGGGAATTATGGGAATATATGGCTTTATTGTATGGTAATTTATTCATTGTTTCACGAATGATTTTCTGAAGTCCAATCGGCCTCTGGAACTCGACCGCTGCAAGAGCCATTGGCCAAGCGCTGGATCAGTTCTTTAATCCTTCAGGGACTTGAGATGTGAGTATCACATCTCCAAATAAATATCGCAACTGTCCTCGTTGATTTCACACATGTTGCTGAAACTGTTAAAACATGCGTATATAGCCACTGAAGTTGAGAGGCCAAACACCCCAGCCCTATAATGCTCTATGGCAGACTATGGAGGCCATCATATATTTATCAATGCGTCTGCTTGTAGGATAACTTGTCGTATAAGAGGCACTCCCTGACTCCCCTGCATGATTCTGCCATGGTATGAATTTTCGCAGCCCCGGTCTCGATCTTCACAACCCAATGCTCCTTAGCTTTGAAGCCAACACCCTGTGACCTGCAAATCCCATGAACATGAGCAAACCCCGGTTTGTAGAGGAAAACAGTTTGAATTCTTTGATTTAAATTTATACAATAAGCGGTCTGCCATCAATATCTGCCAATCCCTGAGCTCCTTTCGTACTTGAAAGCGAATCTGGCTTCACACGCTAGGTCTCCTTCTAGGTTTTAGACTGTCCGAGATCTTTTTCATTTTCTGATCTTCTTTTAGTATCTTTCATTTTCCGCCTTTTACCCGACGAAGAACCGAGCATTGTGGGTTAGGAAAAAGTAACTTTCCCATGGGGCCATGTTAGGCCATCGCTATTGGGTTGGAGGCCATGGCTACTAGGAGCACGTGCCCGTGCTCCAGTTCCATCTTGGTGAGTCGGAGTGTACTCACCCAATTCACTCGCATCCCCCAATTCCTCCGTTGCATCAGCAGCTCACCTTCCCGGCATTTGCTAAAACATTTGCAAGTGAATTTCACGAACCCGTATCAATATTTTTCCTAGGAGTCAACTGTCAACAATGTTGCCCTGACTCTTTGCTTGCAGGCCGGATTGCAGTAGCAACAGTCAAAACAACCTGTGGCCATTGCACATGTGGCATTTCTTTCACAAAGTGCAACATGAATGATTTGGATACACAAAGCGTTCAGCATTGAATGTGGAGCCTAAAACTGCCAAGGTTCCCTGAAGCCTTCTGCATAAGGGTTCTTAGATGCATTTTTCCAGTACCTCAGCATCCAAGTTTGGTCCGAAACTATGCCTGCAGAGTACAAGTCTTCAGTCTTCATGACTCAATGTGAATGTCCTCTTCCAATGAGGCAAATGAACCGAACATGCACACTCCATGAGGCACGATAGTGGCCCCCCCATAAACTGCAGCCGTAATACAATGGAAGCTCCAACCTTAAGCGGGTCAAGACACAACATTTGCCATCAGGAGATGTGTGGTAAAAGAACAACATGTCTTGTATAGTGACTCGTGCTCCAAATCCATGTGACCTGATTGTTTGGATGCATCTGGATGTAGCCTACAAACCATATATTAATTGTATTGAATGCAGTGTCTCAAATGCTCTGAGGTCAAGCTCTGTCAAGTGACAGAAATGGCACGTCCTTCGGTGGTGGTGTTGGCGTTTCGTCACGGTGCAAACGCTCATAGAGAACCACATATTCTGGATAGACCTGGTCAGGATCATAAATGGCCACCTCGCGATAAGTGCCCACGGATCTGGAACGGTCGCCCAGGGTACCTTGGCAGTTTGAGAACACCACTAAGCTCTCCCTTGCACCTTATCTGGATATATCTGAGCGGACCATGTCAACCAAATACAACATGCCCTGGTGCCGGCTCATTGCTTCTCGGATGCTGTCAGATCTTCCGGATTTGAATTTACCTTCCGCAGCTGGCTCACGGTCGGTTGTGTAGTGGAATCTGCCTGCTTCAAAGCAGTTCGGTGCATTTTGGGAAGGACTTCAGCTGGAATTTGTCTCGCCTCTACAGGACAGGTAAGCCTCTGGCCACTCCAGGTGGGTATGCCAGTTCCTTTTCTTACCAGAAGTGAGGCAAGATCACACTCGGGAAGATTCACACGGAACCTGAAAACGGACCTTTGGAAGACGAATTCAACATTAATTGGGTGAGCACTGGGTAGTAAACTCTTCGGGAGTGAAGAGATGCCCAAACACCTGATGTGTGCAGTGTCAGGCTCAACAAGCCCGTGGCCTTCATGGACCATCATTCACACCTCCAACGCTTGAAGCAATTGACGGCTGCCTGGCCTAAACAAACCCGGCAAAGTAGCAGTGCTCTCACGTTGTTGTAGTGTCCTCCAGGTTCATCCTTTGCATACTCATCAGCCTTTGTGGCACTCTCGCTGAAGTACAGAGCCTCCGCTGAGAAAGCTTGGAGCAAATGCAAGTCTCAAACCCAACGCCACACCCTAGCGGCCCTAGCGTAAGAATGACACTTGATCAATCTTGCTCAACTAAATGCTCTGGCCCACCCATCCCTTCAGCCACCTACCAAGTGCATGAGACGCAAACAACCGAAGGACAGCCACAAACAACCCTCGGAAAGATCCCTGCCCCGGTGTCTTCCAGTCTGGCCAGTTTTGGCATGAGAGTAGTGGTATTGTGAATAGGTATGCGTGATCAAGATGTGTTAAAGTTAAGTATATAGTGATATATAATGAGAATCTGCTTGGCAAACCAGGCACTCAACCCATTCTATATCCTATGCTAATACGCGGTTTGGCCTTGCCATACATGGTGCCTGCCCCGGATCCAGCAAGGTCAAGTTTGAAATCCTCCGGGTGTCAAGTGTCATGTGGCTGTGCAGCTCCCTACATCTTTTTATTACAAAACTGAGAAAGTTGGGAATCAAGTAGTTTGTTGTCACCCTTCTGCCTACTTGCTCCAAAACACATATCGTGTCCATGGCTAACGTGAACATGTGACACCCCTTCCTCGGCTAACTTGTGCATAAATCATCATAAATCGCTCCAACCCTTGTTCAGAGCTTCGGTTCCACCAGTGTCCTCTCGTGCAATTTGCAAGCCACTTCGCACATGTGCACCGTGCCACATGTAGACCTCAATATGCTCAAAAAATCTCGAGTGCATGTTCACTGTGGCCCTGCCCCTTCCTTGAAGAAGCGTGAACTACAAATGATTTAGTTCCTAGATTTTTAGGGAACCTTAACTTCCGAGGGAAACGATCAAAACGGCCTCGTTGATATCATCGCAAAGGTTGGTGAGGATTTCAGACATGTCACCTCGGCAACTTTGGACAAACTGCAGCATGAAACATCTGATACTGGTAAGCAAGCTCAAATTGAATTAAATTATCCGCTTGGTAGTCAAGGTGCTCAACTCATCAACAGCATCTTTGGTAAAAAGGGGTGGGTCAGGAGCCTCACAATAATCTCGGTTTTGCATGATCGCCCGTCCTTAGCTGCACCCTGAAAGAGTTCCCTTTGCTTGATATGAGCCCCCCCGACTGCTTCAATCTGTATCAAAATCTTGCACACAGCTGCCGTTTCAGAGCAGCCAAGTTGCGCCGACGTACATATCGATTGAACCTCATCACATCCCATGCAGTTTCTATCAGTCAGTCTCTGCAGTTCTTCACCTGCATATGTAAATATATACTTATATATATATATGGGTGCTCGCTGATTAGCCGCTGATTCGAGGCCTCCTGGGGGCACCATTAACATAAACAATGATCTGAATAAGAATGAGAGTCACAGACCTCACGACTATGTCGTTCGGGCCGGCACGCACAAATCGAGAAGCTGCTACCGCACAAACTTTGTCGCGACTGAAGACCATGTGTCTGCAACATAAAGCCAGAAAACCAAACAACAACAAAACAAAACAATGATTTGGAGACTGTGTTCATCCTACAAGGGTTTGGACTAGTTTGGACACCTTTATATTTTGGGGGGGGTGAGCCTCGTATATGTTGGGACTAGTTAGTTGGGAACACATTCTTCTTTTTGTGCGGGGGGGTCTTGGTTTGAGCAGTAGTTTATAAACACAGTCTATAATCACAACAAATGTGTATATATATATATGTATATAGACAATGTATTCTGATGTGGCTAACCATTTGTGTGCGTGTGCAAGACTGGCGTCAATCAGGATCATTGAGGGTCGAGTATCAGTGGCGCGACATGACACAGATGCCTTGGACTTCATCTAAGAAGAAGGAAAGGTGGTTCTGAAGAAGATGCGGGAAGATGGAGCAACTGATCCTCCGCGAGATTGGCTGGAAAAGTGCCAGTGGACTCAAAACATGCTAGCTGCTCATGCAGACAAAGAGAGAGAGAGAGAGAGAGAGAGATTGCCTCGTATCCGCCATCCTTGGAAGAGGATTGTTTGATGACAAGGTCCACAGGTCTGGCAAAATCAGAGCTAGTAATAGTACCATCTGACAGCTGCAGTGTCCTTCACTGCCTCTGTCCGCATCAAGCAGGAGCCCGTGGATGAGAAGACAGGAGCCTGTGAGTAGGTTGGAGGTCATCTGAGTATATACAGCAGCTCTTTCTTTTGGCAAAAGCATATTCGCAAACTTGACAAGTGTTATGGGACACAGTCAGTACAGGAACCAAAGTCCAACGCACGTGGTCTCACAACATGTTCCTCAACTTTTCTTTCGCAGTCTTCATGTGCTTCTGCTGCATTGAGGTTCGTGTCAAAAGTACTTGTGACTTGTGCGCAAAAAGCCAGTGGTCATGGCTCTTTACTCCTTGTTCATGTCAGAATGCCAGTGGTCTGTGGATGAAAGCTGGTTCTCCTCACAGGCTGCTATGGCACTCATTGCCTTAGCTCCTCCTCTACACCTGCGCGGAGTGTTGGTGTGCTTGCACTTGGGCCTAATTCCTGAGGCCGAAAACATGCCCCAACAACAAGCACAAGGTCATCTTAACTGAGGAGGAGCGCAAGACTGACAAATCCCGGTTCCGGTGGCGCTGTGCTCAATGCTTCAGAGCTGCCCTTTGCCCCTGTGGTCTATTGTCCCATGTGCGTGTCTCACTTTGGTTGCCTTTCCTCTTCTTTACCAACGGCATGAGGTTGAACTACAGGCGGTCCAAGCTTGCGGCAAGCTTGCCTGAGCTCTTTGGCATCTCTTCCCATGATACATTGAACAGGTGGCGATCTCTCTACCAATCATGTCTGCAAGATTCTGCAAGTCTGCTTAGAAAGGACAGGGGGTTTTGTAATTGGTCAGTCTTCAGGCGATGGGGTGGCCTTCGATGAGACCAACATGGTTAGCGACCGTGGTACTTGAGAGGAGGGAGACACGAAAGGTAGGACAGCGGGAAGAGAAGAGAACGCGAGAGGCAGGAACAAAAATGCAATGTTTGACATGGTGATTTATCCCCTCGGAGGCGACCTTTCGTACATATATGTTCATATGCACTTTAAATGTTCAAACATGTGCTCTCGAAATGTTCAAAAAGATTCTTAGGAAAACAAACTTGCCCCATGGCTCAGATCATCGGTGAGCATTGAATCGGAACATCATAGGATTTGAACTATCCTGAAACCATAAGAGGCTCACGAAGACGCTCCCCAGGAGAGAATTGACGTGCTTCACAGAACACCTTTCGTGATTAGAATTTCATATTCACTCTTTCTGAATGTTCAAGAGGGTTTCAACTATCCTGAAATCATGAGAGGCTCACGAAGACGATCTCCAGGAGAGAATTGATTTTAGAGGGGGGGAGGGGGGGGGTCTGTATTGAAAAATCAATTCCAAGGGGGAGGGGGCGGGGGGGGGGGGTGTTTTTAAAAAAAAAAAAGGGGGGGGGGTGGGGGGGGTCTGAATTGAGCGATCAATTATTAGACCCGGACGTCCCAACACTTGCTTCGCAAGACAAACTCAAGGTGTCCCCTAAAGGGCTACCTTTCGTGATTAGACAAGCATCTTCCTCACAAAGAATGCTTCGAGGTCTGCCTCCTCCATCAAGCGTGTGCTTCGAACAGAACCAGCTCATACTGTACATCGTCGTCCCGCTACTTCTATGAAGCACCCTGCCAGTAAGTTTCCGTCGGCCAGCTGTGGCGCTACGTCGCCCAGGCTGTCATGAAGTCCATCTACAGCAAGAACAAGGTGGGCACAGATGCAAACACTCGTTCGAAAGGTCGATGGATTTTTGCGGCTGCGCTAGTTGGCAACAAAAAGAAGTGCTTCAAACACGAGAACGGCACAGTTTCAAAGTTCTTCCGGAATCATCGCTGGCCAAAGACGGCAAGTCTCGGGGAATGGCCACTATGAAAAGCTCTGATCACATGCATCTCGAAGCAAGTCTTGGTTGTGCATGATGCCTGGAAGGCCTCAAGCGCTGCCGTGTGCTCCTTGCTCCTTAGGCTATAAGTCTGCTCCGCCAACCAACCATACAACGGGATGGCGTGATCGCCGCGCTGGCTTCCATTCAAACGATACCGAGTCTGAATTATCGCGCCTCAAGAAGAAAATTAGGGAGAGATACGGTCAACTGAGTTTTCAGGCCAATGTTGGGGAGGAGCCAGAGGCGGCCGAAGACGTCGACACAGGTGACCTCTACAAGTATTGCTTCTACATCAACAATGTGGGTTCTTCGTTTGAGACTATGCTGGAAGCTCTTGTCACATCAACTCCAGCCTATATAGTCTGTGTCGGGCCTGCGAAGGCGAATTTCCAACACCAGGTAAACTTCTAAGACTCTAGACCGTATCGGGCCTCAGTCACGTCAAGTGTGTTCGCGGATCAGTCGGCAATGTGTCCGGCGCGCAAGCATCCACTCCGGATTCATCCTAAAATCTTTAAGCCGATGTCTGATGGTAAACACTCTGTTTATGGGCTGCGGCTGTTTATATCTGGTTGTAAGCACTCTGGTGACCATGGGTATCTGACGTTTCTACTTTCTGCTTTCTAAACACACGTGGGCCGCCGGCCGCCAGTGGCTCATATTTGCACCTGCATCGTGGTTAACTTAAAGTTTCTGCTGCCGCAGCATGGCGCCTAAGCTGGTGCTCCTGGGCGCTGCCGAGCAGTTGAACCCGAGTGGACGCTTTCGGTTGGAGAGGTGGCGCCCGAAGGGACCGAGATCACGAAGGAAAGTGTGCCTACTACAGCCCCGTCAACCACACGGCCTCCAGAGGCTTGCCTTCTACACACAGACTTGCTTGAAGGACGGGTGGTGGCTAGCCAGTCGAAGGTAGAGAGGACACCATGACAGCTGATGTCTCACATCAGCAGACGTTGGGCTTGGCGACCGGTCGAGACAGAGAGTGGAATGACCGAGCTCAGACTATGTTCCAGGATGTTCCAGGAGTGGCTTGTTCAAGACGTGAAGGGGCAAACGGGGAAGAAACGACCTCTTTTGGCTTTGAATAATTCCCAACCAGAAGAAGAATCAGGAAAGGGCAAAGCCAAGTGGAGGGGCTGATGGAGACCCATTCAACACCACGAAAACGTCCTCTTCTTCTACCTCCTGTTCATCGTCTTCTTCGTTTCTTCGTCAAGTACATCCAAACATTTTCAAAAGAAACCTCGTGCAGCTTCTTCATCAAGCATCCAACCCTTTGGAAATGGCACTGCAGCATATCTGAGCTCTCTCCGCGTAGCGCATAGCACTTGATTGTGAATGCATCGCCATACTTGACCGCGCAAAGCGCCCTGTAAGACAAGCGATGCAATAGATAGAACTGGAGCCACTTCAAGTATAAACACTTTCCGGAGTCACCACACTTCCATATCCAGAATATATACCTGCACCTTCCATTGATACATAAATGTCTGCTCCACCCTTGTTCGATCACAAATCCAGAGTTCGAGCAAGAATTGGAACCAAATCAATGAACCACAGTTTCGATCACTTTTTGAAACTTCGAGCGCTTTTGGCTCCGGGTGTCCAAAGGCCTGCTTGACCAGGTGCCCCTTGTGATGTGTGATGTATGTCATTTGTACGTGCGCTCACAATCTCCATCTTGAC